CAATCAGTTTTAATGGCTTTACATGTAAATATGTTGCAGGCTTCAAAAGATGGGAAGACCAAAAAGCCAGTAAAAGCCAAATGTGATTATTATTAATAAATGTGAACTCCAATCATTAGTGATTCTAAATTACAGAACTGACTAGTTCTGTGGCTTTGAATCTGTCCATTTTAATGCTTCATTTAATTGTATTTTATTAAAATTCGATGACTTAATGTTTGAATACCATAGAATTTATGAATGAGAAGATTCTCGTATTTTCATTTTTTTTTTTTTTTAATTTGGTACTTTTTTATAGTTCTGATTATGATTCCAAGCATAGATTAAAGTGAATAACTTACTGTCTCTTAATATTAAATGTCTTGACTACTGCAGCTACTAAGTACCTGTTGGACTGGGATAAGCCTAGTGCCATGAGAAACATAAAAGTTAAAGAATGCATTTAAAAGTAATCTTAATTTTATAATTTATTTCAAAGAGTGCAGATTTAAGATTACTGTAGTTTGAATAATTATACTGATGACTCAGTAATGCAGCAGGACATGGATACAGCTTAGAATCAAAAGTTGCTTCTGCATACAAAGAAATTAATTTTTTTTTCCCTTCTTAAGTTTGCTTTGGAGGCTCGTAAGAGAGATTCCTTGTATGCAGACTCCTTTTACCATCTGTCTTGTTTGCCTCCTTAGAAAGATAGTTTTGCTGCTGTGTCATATTAAAACTGTTAAGGTGGTTCTGAACTCAAGTGCATGATTTTTAATTAAATGTCAATGTTTTTTGAAATGGTCGAGGGATCTTTACATGGATGCAAAGCCTGCAGCTTATGTTGGAGATCTGATGCATGAGATTAGTGACTCTTCTTCCCTTCTACCATTGTCTCAAGCTGTTAAATGAACTGAGACATCCACCTACAGCTTTCCTGTAGCGGAGTGGGGGAGTTTCTGCCAGTGGCACTTTGAAATGCTGCAGAACTGCTTGCAGAGGAAACCCTAAGAAAAGCTAAATTGTCCATGCGAATTTCTGCTTTCAGGTGAGTTACATGGAGATTTACTGTGAGAGAGTCAGAGACTTGCTGAACCCGAAGAACAAAGGGAATTTGCGAGTGCGAGAACATCCTCTGCTTGGGCCATATGTGGAAGATCTGTCGAAGTTAGCAGTCACATCTTATACAGACATTGCAGACCTCATGGATGCTGGGAACAAAGCCAGGTTAGTGATGGTAGTGCATTATATATTTTTATCTCTGTTGTGGGGAAATATGGCATATAGCAGCAAATTTAAAATATCTTCTGTGATGCATTGACACTTTAAAAAAAACTCACGTCACGAGGAGTATTGTTGAAATATGCACTGATCAATGCTATTAAAAGGCTGAAATTGATTTGTGTGGTGAAGTAGTGCTGCAAATTACTGTATAGGTATTTAAAGCTTGTAATGGCTTGAGATGCAGTATGTAAATAATTATACTGACTTTTAGTTCTGCCTTCATTGTGTATCACTATATTGGTATAAATAAACATGTCAACAGTCTCCTCTTCCATTCATTTAAGTGGTCAGGACTAAAGCTGGCATTCTAGCTTTAGGTTCTGGTTCATTAGTAGTTGTTTTTATGTCAGCTGTAGGCTCCATTTAACAATGTGTGGGAAAGACTAACATAAATGCTGCTCGTGTTTTCTTGGGTGTTTGAGTGTAAGGTAGGTTATTGAGTGCACAGATTGAGGAAGCTATGTTTAAACTGTGATGGGAGTAATTCAGGAGTGAAGAATCAAAGGGTTTATTAATGGTATTCGGTGTGGCTTGATCTTGGTTACAGGGCAGAACATCAACTGTACAGCCTCTTGATCTCATTGCATTCAGCCCTGCGGGTGGTTGTACTTGCAGCATAGAGGCTACGGTGTTCTAAATGTGTCTATATCTGTTTGTATTTTAGGACTGTGGCAGCTACCAACATGAATGAAACCAGCAGCCGCTCTCATGCCGTGTTTACAATTGTCTTTACTCAGAAGAAACACGACACAGAAACTGATCTTTCCACGGAGAAGGTACGTTACAGATAAGTGACTTTCACAAAGCCCTGTAGTGGCTCACTCTTATTGGCATTATGATGAGAAAATGAGAATTGTTTTTTCTGGTGTTTTGTTTAAGAGTGAACTTGCTGTGTGCCTTGACAGAGCCCTTTTATTTCTTAGGAGATTTTGCTTGATTGTAATTCTGAAAACAACCAAGTGGGGAATATGTGCAGGAGGAGAATATATAGATCTGGGAAAAATAAGGCCTTAAGGGCTAGGCTCTATGGGGAGGGATATATGAAATAGAAGAAGTTAATCTTCCCGAGTCTTGTTCCCAGAACTTTCTGTGGTATTGCTTGTCAGGGCAAAACATTTGCCTTGTTAGTTCTTTTCTTTGGGCACAGGAATTGGGATGAGTGAGACTTAGGCTCTTTCTGGAATTTGCATGTTAAAAGGAGCTCCGCTGTTTAACATGAAACAGTTTTCTGGCTTTTCTTACTCTAAAATAGAGGCTCTGCATGCAAAAGTAGCTGAAATATGGGTAATGTTCACATTTCTGAACTGACTGCTGTGGAAAGACCTGAAAAAAATTATGTATTGAAGACACCCCCCACCCCCCCGCCCAACAATAAGGCCGTGTAAAATTATCATTAACTGACATGCAGTCTGTAGCTTTAGTTAGGCCAGTGCTTTATTGTTGGTGTCACTAAAGTCAGGATGAAACATTAAGTTTCTCTTCCTTTGAGACTCTTGTGTTGTCTGTAGCAGTAACTCTTAATTTCTTTTGACTTCTGTTCTGCTCTGTTCATGTGAGACCTCATTCTCTCTTTTTAGGTAGAGTACAGTGATACTTAAAACAGCATAATCCCAGACACTTCTTATCCACAAGATAACAGCATCAAACTAATTGCTTGTGAAAACTTTGTTTAACTTTGGTTTTAAGCACACTACAGTGAAAGTTTTTTGGTTTTTTTTAGACAGAGTTCTTCTCGTGCCATAGAATTCTTTGAAGTTTTGTTCTTACTCTAGTTCACCAAGAACTAATTATTGTTGTTAATGTGCTTTCTCTCTTCAGGTCAGCAAGATTAGCCTTGTGGATCTAGCTGGGAGTGAGCGAGCTGATTCAACTGGTGCCAAAGGAACCCGATTAAAGGTATTGGGTTGTTAATGTATGGGGAAAGAAAGGGAAGTAGGTGCACGAGCATTATGTGGAGTCTTTGCTTGACAAACAATAAGGAAAAGAAAGGATTGCTATTGTAAGTATGGAAAAAATAGTTGCAAAACTGAAGACTTCCTTCCCCCTGCCCCGATCATGGATGTGATATTTGGCTCGTTCAGTCTACAGAGGTTCATGGTTGAACAATTTTAATTACTATATAATACTGGATTCTGTTTTCTCAGGAAGGAGCAAATATAAACAAATCTCTCACAACTCTGGGCAAAGTTATTTCAGCATTGGCCGAAGTGGTAAGTACAGTATTTACTTACCTGCAACAACCTTTCCATAGCTAGTAATACTGAGACAGTAAAAACTCTGGAGTACAGCAGCATCATTCAGTGTTCTTGTGTTCTTGGCCTAGCATTCTCAGCCAAATTAGCTGTGTGTATTTTGATAGATGAATAGTGTTGATAGTATTCTGTGAATGTCATGTGAGCTGGTAGAAACTTTATTTGTCAGTAGATTGAAGATTGGTTTATTTATCTGTGAAGTCTTGCAAAAGAAGCCTGCGTTTGTGTAGAAGACATGTTCACATAGCAAACTTTTGGTTCTGCAGAGCAATAGTTTTATCTTTATTAGGAAGAATAATTTTAGAAAACTAACTGCAGCTTTGGTATTTTTGAAATTTTTAACAACAGTGTAATAATTAGGTTATCACTGACTTTTTTTTTTTTTTTTTACAATGGCAAGACTCAATGTGTTGAGTTGGTTGAGCATAGGTTGATCCAAACATACTGTTGTAGGTTTAGAAAAGTCTTTGTCTTTTACTTTTAAACTCAACTACTATTTAAAAAAGGCAAGTAAATTATCGCTATTCCTTTTAAAAGTGAGTTCTCAACAGCTTGGACAGGTTTAATATACTTAGGTGCTTTTTATATTTTTTAAATTAAAACTATTCTTATTCGTTGGGCTTCTTAAGAAAAGAAAATACTATCCAAGCTAACATGGAAATTAGATATAAAGCTCTGTTAAGAAGCTCATCTTGTATGTTCTTCCTCTTTCTTTAATGCTTTCGACGTAGGATAACTGCACCAATAAGGTATGATGGTCTGAGTAGTAGTGGATGTTGTCATTTTTGCCTGAATGTAAGATTTTATTCTCTGTACTTTGGAATCAAAGAGCAGGGATCTTTTACATCAGACCTTTGAGAAATTGCTATATTTCTATAACTTACAGTCATGAAGCCTGAGAATTATCAGTACTAAAATTTAAAAATGTTCTGAGGTTGGGGATAAATTAATGAAAAGTATGCATTTAAGTATGTTTTGGGGAGTATTCTTTTATTGC